TCTTTCTTTCTTATCTAATAATTAAAAAATAATATTTGTTTGTTCGTATTCATGCGCTGCCATACCGTTCATCAGATTGCGCTAAAACTTTGTCAACGTTATTGCTTGCACTTGCGCAACGGTTATAGGCATAGTACAATTAAGTTACAGTAGATGGCGCGCATATCGTGCCGACAAATTTATTTAAAAGTTATATTCAAACACCCCGATGAGGATGTTTAGGAAATGTATGAGAATATCTCTAGAGTCATGCATTCCTCCAAAACCCAATATACCGTGTTAATGGGAGACTTCAATGCAAAACTAGGCACAAGAAAGAACGGTGAACTGAGAGCGGGGCAATTTGGAATAGGGCAACGGAATCCAAGGCGCCAGCAGCTGGCCGATTTCATGGAGAAAGAGGGACTCTTTATGATGAACTCTTTCTTCCAGAAGCGGCCCCAGAGGAAGTGGAACTGGTCGAGCCCCGACGGTTCGACAAAAAATGAGATTGACTTCATTATGACGACCAGACGACAACTGTTCAGTGATGTCTCCGTGATCGCGAGGGTGAAAACTGGTAGCGATCACCGAATGGTGAGAGGCACACTGAACCTAAACGTTAAGTTGGAGAGGTCCCGTCTAATGAAGTCAACGCTCCGTCCCCCTTGTGCTCTATTCCAATGTCCCGAAACCTTTCAGCTCGAGTTACAAAACCGTTTTCAGTGCCTAGAAGACTGCAATGAAGTGGACGATATGAATGACAAGCTTGTAGAAACTGTCCATGCGGTCGGAGCTAAGTTTTGCAAGACCCGCCGCAGAAGAACACAAAAACTCTCCGATCACACTCTTAATCTCATGGCATTTAGACGGTAGATGAAGCTACAGTCTTCAACAGATTTGACAGCATACAGGCAACTGAACAGACAGATCTCCAAATGCATGCGGCAGGACTTACGCAACTGCAATACAGCTTGTATTGAAGAAGCGATTGAGCGGAACCAAGGCTCCAAAGTCTTTGCCAGAGATCTGTCTGCCAGAAAGAGCCAACTGTCAAAGCTGAAGACCGAGTGTGGCAGCATCGTTTCCGGGCCCCAGGCGAGGATGGAATTACAGCGGAGCTTCTGAAAGCGGGTGGAAAACCGGTACTTGAAGTCCTTCAGAAGCTCTTTAATTCCGTCCTGCATAGTGGCACTACTCCGGAGGCGTGGAGCAGAAGTGCGGTGGTCTTATTCTTCAAGAAAGGCGACAACGCGCTCTTGAAGAACTACAGACCGATTTCCCTTCTGAGCCGCGTCTACGTGCTGTTTTCGAGAGTCATTACGAATCGTCTCGCACGCAGACTTGACGACTTCCAGCCTCCCGAACAAGCCGGTTTCCGAAAAGGCTTTAGTACCATAGACCACATACACACCCTTCGACAAATTGTACAGAAGTCCCAGGAGTACAGAAAGCCTTTGATTCCGTCGAAATTTGGGCGGTGCTGCTGTCCCTTCAGCGGTGCCAAGTTGACAGTCGGTATATCGAAGTGTTGAAGTGCTTGTACAGTAGGGCTACGATGGCTATCCAAGTACAAAACCAGAGTACGAAACCTATACAACTGCAGAGAGGTGTAAGACAGAGTGACGTTATATCCCCGAAACTATTCACCGCTGCATTGGAAGACGTTTTCAAGCTTCTGGACTGGAAAGGATACGGTATTAACATCAATGGCGAATACATCACTCACCTTCCATTTGCCGACGATATAGTCCTTATCGATATAGTCGCTGGAGGACCTAAGTACTATGCTCAATGACCTCAATAGTGTCTCCCAACGGATAGGTCTTAAGATGAACATGGACAAAACAAAAATCATGTTTAACGTCCATGTCACACCTATGCCGGTAGTTGTTGGGAGCACTAAGCTCGAAGTTGTTGACGAGTATGTTTACCTGGGATAAATATTCCGACTAGGTGTCCAACTTCGACCGAGAGGTCAATCGACGGATTTAACTCGGCTGGGCAGCGTTCGGGAAACTACGACACATCTTCTCGTTAGACATACCTCAAAACCTGAAAACGAAATTGTACAACCAGTGCGTGTTGCCAGTGATGACTTACGGATTTGAGACGTGGTCCTTCACTCCTGGCCGTATGAGGAAGCTCAAGGTCGCTCAGCGAGCTATGGACAGTGCTATGCTCGGGGTTTCTCTGCGTGATAAACTTAAAAATGAGGATATCTGTAGTAGAACCAGATTAACCGACATAGCCCAACGGATTAGTAATCTAAAGTGGCAGTGGGCCGGCCATATAGCTCGAAGAACCGACAACCGATGGGGAATAAAGGTTCTCGAGTGGCAGCTTCGTACCGGTAGGCGAAGTGTAGGGTGACCCCCCACTAGATGGAGTGACGACCTGGTAAGACATGCAGGAAGTCGATGGATGCAGGTAGCTCAGGACCGTGCTTTGTGGCATTCTTTGGGGGAGGCCTATGCTCAGCAGTGGACTTATGAAAGGCTGTAATGATGATGAATATTAAAAACAACAACAAAACAACAAAAAAAAAACTAAAACTAGTAACTTAATTATCGTACAGTCCTACTCTCCGCGGTATCGTGCCAAGAACGCTGGCTGCGTTTCCTCGCTGAATGGCTATACCTACTTAGCCTTTGAGCGAGAAAAGAACCAGTCCTCTTATCACTAGCAGCAACGACCAGTTGCGGTTGGAGTTCCTTTAGGAACTTCACCGCACGTGGACCCCACGGACCGATAGTCTCTACAGCAAATGGCACAAATATGTAGTCATCTCTCAGAGACTCATATTTGCGCCACTTACTCAGTTCAGCTGCCTCTGATGCCGCCCCGGCTTTAAACGAGGTACCCCTGAGATGAGAGGCCGCCAAAGTGTCTACGCAAGTAGCATCCCACACTAGTGCTTTATCTCTCTCCCAAGGGACCAATTTCAAACCGTCGGGTCTCTTGCCATCGTCTCTAAATATTCCATAAGGCTCTAAAACCGAGGGAACATTTATACAGACAAGAGCCCTTCGTATGACATCGTTCAAAAAAACTGTGCCGCGAAAATCTACCAGTACTTTTCTTACATGAATGTCCGTGGAGCCAAATTTGTCGACGCTGCTATCACAGAAGCACTGAAGGGGTTGACAAATCGCCGCTCCTAGTCGGATTCCTACGGCGATGCGCAAGCTTTCCCTATCAAGTAATGTGCCGAGATTACTTGATGGTAAAGCGTGTGACTAGATTCCTTAGTCGAAACAGCTAGAAGGCATGCCTGATCTTCGTCGCTATGGAAATTATGAAACAAATCTTTCTGCACGCCCTGTACCAACAGAATATCTCACTGTAGTTTGAGTCCAGGCTGTTGTATTTAAAGTTAAATTTAGGATTTCTTCTATAGCTATTTTAAGATTATTATTAAAGTTTGAATGTGCCAGTAAAATCTCAAAAAAATGCTATTACTGAATAGGTTTTAAATTAAAATATTATACATACATACATAAACACTCACGCCTGTCACCCAGAGGGGTAGGCAGAGACTACGGACTTCCATTTGGCACGATCCTGACACACCTCTCTCGCCTCTTTTACATCCATATGTCTACGCATACACGCTCGAAAATGTTATGAAAATGTTTTTACAATTTACGAATTTATTTAAAATTTTAGGAAAAAATTGAGATAACCTTCGTACACACACGCATGCCAAGACAATGGAAAAGTATAAAAAATACATTAAGTTTACTTTTTTAATTAATTGTTTTTTTTTTCTATAGAAATAGGGTGACAAACGAGTACACAGCCCACCTGATAGTAAATGGTTGCTGAGGCTCATAGACATCTACATCTATCCTCATTTGCGAATCAAAATGCAGATGCGTTGTCACCCGTGAGGACCAAGATGGAATGCCTCTTTTCCAGTAAAAAGGGTCTCCGGTTCTCTACACTCACCATACGAAACACAGCAGTGTTAAGCTGCTATTTTACGCTGGTATTCTCTGAGAGCGTACTCCTTCCCCGGTGGAGCCGACCCATTCGTGCTACAACTATACTATAAATATAGCTGCAGCTTGGCTCTACCGCGTAAAAAAATAATAGTATAAGGCTGACTAACGACATCTACATCTACCCTCGATTAAAAATCAAAATACAGATCCACTGTCACCCCTGAGGACTATGATGGAATACCTCGCTCCAGTAAAAAGGGTCTCCGGTTCTCTACAGCTGTTATTTCACGTTGGTAATCTGTGAGAGCGTGATCCTTCCCCGGTGTACCAACTCATTTGTACTACAAAGATAATATATCTGCAGCATGGCTCTACCACGTAAACGTTATGTATTGATTTGTCGATTTTATGCAATTCAATATGCATCGAATTGGGAGCAGGTGGAGAGTTAGGAGTCGAATTTCGCCTCTAGTGGCCACAGGCGGAATAAACCCATACCACGTCACTTAAGAAAAGTTTGAGAAACCTTAAGTTAGCTTGAGTACAGTCCTGTAGTTTAGAACCCATTTTAGACTTTTTCCTGGACTGTTATAAGATATACATCATCGTCATCATCATCACAGCCAAGTCCACTGCTAGACATAGGCGCAAGGAACACCACAAACCACAATCCTGAGCCACCTGCATCCATCGACTTCCTGCATATCTAACCAGGTCGTCACTCCATCTAGTGAGGGGCGCCCTACACTTCGCCTATTGGCACGAGACTGCCACTCGAGAACTTTTCTTCTCCATTGGTTATCGCTTCTTAGGGCTATATGGCCGGTCCATTTCCACTTCAGCTTACTAATCCTTTGGGTTACTTTGATTTTACTGTGGATGTCCTTATTTCTAAGTAGAGAAACTGCGTGCATAGCAGTGAAGGACCACGTCTGACGAACCACCGGCAACACGCTCTGGTTGTACAATTTTGTTTTCAAGTTTAGAGGTATACCTGACGAGAAGATCTATCGTAATCTCCCGAATCGTCATGAAAATCAGTTTAAAATTAAGCCTAATTAAATTTAATTTCAGGCTAAACAACGATTCGAAGAGGCCGCAAGGATCTTCATGCAGAACACTTTGTCCATTGCGAAACAGATGCGGCCGAAGGCGCAATGGGGTTACTACGGGTTCCCGTATTGCTTCAATGTGGCCGCCAACAACCCCTCTGAGAATTGTCCGGCGAACGTCATACAAGAAAACAATAAGTAAGTTTGGCTTTAACTTAGGCCCATATTAATAAACGTTACTCAGCTCAAGTACACGCACTTGAGTACAATCTTGAGGTTGTGATCTTATTAATAAACATATCTCAAGATGCGGTTTAGGTTTACGATATCAGCTGAGTGCCACACTGATAAAGCTTCGTTCAGATTTACAGACATTGAGCGTGCCAGACACGTGGCGTGGCAGACAAAATAAGATTATTTTATACACCATCCTATAAAACATCTTTGTTCACCATATATAGATATATTCACGTCTACCGCACGCAAGCGGAGCTGTCTGCGCAGACACGGGCCGGCACTAGGCTTGGGTAAAAAATATAGATATATCGAAATATCGATATTTTTTAATAAATATGTCGATATCTATCGTCGATATTTTAAATCGCGATATATCGACATATCGATATTTATTTTAGAGTATGGAATTCGTATCAATTTCGATATATTTTAAAATGTTGGATCGTTGTTTTCGTCGTCCAATCGTCAGTAAATAAAATTTTGAACCTTATCTTTACATCATTCAAATGATGACTATATATCGATATTAACACGCGATATATATCGATACTGTTTAAAAATATAGGTTCGATATATATCGATATATTTTTTCCCTTTACCCACCCCTAGCCGGCACTGGCCAGCATTCTCAACTGTTTTGTCTGTGCTCGTGCGTGTGTGCGGGCGTCTAATATACATTTTGGTATGGTATGTGTGATCGCAGGTACAGTGAAAACCAAAAAAAAGACTACGCATGGAAAGACGTAACAGAAAAACTTCAAGTTTCATGTAACAAGGATTTTATTTATGAAAATTTCTCTTTTCTTTTAAAAACGTTACCCCCACACTAGGATTTTCTCCTGTGTCGTGGAGGCAGTTTACAAACATTTATTGTTTGTAACCTGCGGAACAATTATTTGTAGGCCATACAAATACTTGTTCCGTGCGGGATTCGAACCCGCGGCCCCCAGCGCAACAACTGATTGCTAAGCCACTGCGCCACGGAGCCGTCAAAATCAAAAATCTTGTAAGCACCTGCACTTTATAGTTTACTTCATAGTTTATTTCATCTTATTTGTAATAAATAAGTAAATCATTTTTATTTGGGGCTAAGTTTCTATCACACCCCGCCACAATGAGGGCTAATAATTTTCTGCTCACCAGATGTCGCTAGTTGACACTGAGGTAAAGTATTTTGTTACACAATGTAATTGAGAAGTTGATTTTCAATAAAACTTTATCAATTTCTAGAGTATTATATTAATACACAAAACAATGCGTCAGTGGTTTGCTCTTTAATTTTTTGCACATTTATACCTTTATTTTTTTATAATTATTTCTTATATTTATGCGAACACTACACATTTTTAACTAAAACTAATTTTACGGATTTTATCGCGTATATTAACTTATTTTTAACTTATTTTTATATTCCCGACGTTTCGGGTGCTTTCCAGCACCCGTGGTCACGGGGGACTTTATTTTTTTATTTTTTTTACTTTTATGAATATCTGTGGTTTGGTTTATTTATTTTTGATCTTATTAATATAAAATATAGCTAATAGTACAGAAAGAGACAACAACCTTTACATTTTCCGAACAAATCAACTTCCCCGCTATGAAGTCTGTCAAATATTATACCCCACTTTCTAGTGGCGCCGCCCTGGTGGCAGAAAAAGACGTGAATGCCCACTCATTGCTCTCTACCGAGAGGGCGAGTCAGTATCAAAGAGTATAGGTCACAGAGTACATTATATAGATCAGTATATAAAAAGTACTCTGTGGGGCGAATCGTGTTTCTAAACTATGCTGCGGTGCGAGAGGATTTTTTTTTTTACTGTAGGCTGGTGTCATAATATAAAGTTACAGATAGGTTGTTAATGCCTTATTACCTTTATTGTAGTAAAAGTTGTAATTCTATTTACGTTACACCTATGTATGTTGTATTTATTGTATGTTGGTTTTTTTAAACAATAGTTTTAAAATAATTTTGTAAGCAAAACTTTTGTGACAAAGGTCAATGGTTAATTTTGTTAGAAACCCGTCCCTAAGAAATAAATAATATTGTAGCATTATGACGGATGGTGGTTGTTTTAGGGCCCATGGAGTATATCGATTTGTTTTTAGACAGCATCTTTGAATTCACTTTTTTTTTTTATAGTATACGGGTGACAAACAACGATAGGTAGATGCCTCTAGACATCTAGATCTATCTTCAATTAAGAATCAAAATGCAGATGCGTTATAATGATTTCTTATATTAACGCGAAGACTACACATTAAATGAAACTATTTTTTACGGATTTTATCGCATTTAATTTAACTTTTTAATTCCCGACGTTTCGGGTGCTTTACAGCACTCATGGTCACGGGAGGGACTGAGTTGTTTGACGTCCCGATGTCATAGTTAGCCCGGCTACCTTCAGTTTTTGAATATTAATTTTTAGTCCGATCTACGCAGAATGAGCTTACAGTATCTTGAAGTCTTGCAGTGGTATGCTTGGGTTTGGATTTAATTTTATTAATTTTAGGACCCGAAGCAGATGGATGGGTATTGCCATCTACTTGAATGCCTAAAATTAATAAAATTAAATCCCATAAATAAAAAGGATCCCAAGCAGATGGATGGAATGCTTCTTTTCCAGTAAAATTGAGACCTTTTTTACTGGAATCTAGGTATTCCATCTTAGTCCTCAGGGGTGATAACGCATCTGCATTTTGATTCTTGATCATAATGTAATGTAGATTTTATGGGACACAACATCCACTTACTATCAGATGGACTGCCTGCTCGTTTGTCACACTTATTCTATAAAAACAGAGAGAGTGGTCCTTCACCGGTCGAGCCAACCGATTATATATATATTCTTTATATTTACAATCTACATTGAATAAAAAATATTCTATTCCATACTATTCTATTCTACTCTCCTTCACTACAAAACGAAACACAATATTGATGCCACTGCTACCTAATAGCCAAAATAATGATAAACAACAATAACAAAGGCATCATCATCAATTATGATGTTCCAGGATAAACTGGCTATGGTCAGAAAGCACGGCGTTGTACCCATCGATATACAGTTCAAAAAACCTGACCTCTAAACAACTAGCCGCCCTGATCCGAGGCAGAGTGACGGAAGCCTCACGTATAAGAAGGAAAGGCACTCCAATATTGCCCTATTTCTGGTTCAAGTATCGGGATGGCGGCTTTTTAAACGAGGTTAGTATACTATTAAATCGGAAAATCAACGATTATAATAAATAAATTATAATAATAATTTATAATACAAAAGAATATATCATAAGCAAATAAAACTATATCGTTAAATGAAACAAATTTTACGGATTTTATCGCGGTTAATTTTAACTTTTCAATTCTCGACGTTTCGGGTGTTTTGGTCACAGGGGAGACTAATATATAAAATAGTTTCATTTAATGTGTAGTATTCGTGTAAATATAAGAAATATTTAAAACTATATCATGGTTATTTCCTACCGAGTAAGGCAAGTCATTAATATAAACTAAGAACAGTAAGGGGCCAGGAATTGAGCCCTGAGGAACACCCCTGGATTTATATACTACCGATCCGGAAGAACTACTTCCATTAATTACAACTATCTATGTTGTTTTATTTTGGTTTAAGCGGGAGGCTTAAACTAATCAATGAAGGCCTCATACATAAAGCCTTTAAGGGGTTTGGCTGGCGGATTGTAAACCTCAGTTTTTTTTATCAATTTTAGTTGTTATCAGGAAGATGCCGCTGCCCATATCCTATTTCAGATTCCTCGCTCTTACGACATCCACTGGATGTTATGGAGTAACAGGGATCCAACTCAAACCTCTAACGGAATGTAATTACCGTGTGATGATAGCGTGGGAGAATATTGGTACGTGGTAGAGCCATTCTGCAGCTATATTAGTATTATAGTTGTAGCACGAATGGGTCGGCTCGGCCGGGGAAAGACGACGCTCTCACACAATACCAGCGAAAAAAGCAGCTTAACACTGCTGTGTTTCGTATGGTGAGTGTAGAGAACCGCAGACCGTTTTTACTGGAAAAGAGGCATTCCATCTTAGTCCTCACGGGTGACAACGCATCTGCATTTTAATTCGCAAACGAGGATAAACGTAGATGTCTATGGGCCACAGCAGCCACTTACCATCAGGTGGACTGTGCGCTCGTTTGTAACCCTATCCTATAAAAAAAAAACTCAAAACCCTAACGGAACGTAATTTCCGTATGGTGATAGCGTGGGAGAATCTATCACCCTGTTTCCACTCGTTGATGTAATAAAAGACGAATATAGGAAGGTCAAAAAGCTTCGGACATCTGACACTACGATCGTCAATCCTTTTGTAAAGCGCAGCGATAACTTAATAAATATAACTACAATAGAAGTGGTCCAGTCCACCAGTGGGCTGGGACGAAACGAAATGAAATGAAATGACATGAAATCATTCACACAAATCATCAATACCGGGAAAACTTGTGTCTGAAGTTGAGTCTTTGCTGAACAAAGCCTCGGATTGGGGGCGACAAAATCTAGTCCAGTTTAATCCTCAGAAGACACAAGTTTGCGCGTTTACCGCTAAAAAGAACCCCTTTGTCGTATCTCCTCAGTTTCAAGACACTCCCCTTCTTGCCTCAGCCAGTATCGGTATCCTCGAAATCGACATATCGAGTGACGTGCAGTTTCATGGTCACTTGGAAGAGAAGGCCAAATTGGCCTCTAAAAAGCTTGGCATGCTCAGCAGAGCGGGACAGTATTCTATGCCGGCACACCGCCTGCAACTTTACAAGGCGCAGGTTCGGCCTCACATGGAATACTGTTCCCATCTCTGGGCAGGGGCTCCCCAGTGCCAGCTCCTTCCACTTGACCGCATCCAACGCAGAGCGGCTCGAATCTTCGACGACCGAGCCCTTTCCGATCGGCTCGATTCATTGGCACTGCGAAGAGATGTTGCATCCCTTTGCATTTTCTTTCGCATCTACCATGGGGAGTACTCTGAGGAATTGTTCGGATTAATCCCAGCCGCCAAATTTCACGAACGCACATCGCGGCAGAAATCCCGATACCATCCACACCATCTGGATGATTGGCGGTCCACCACTGTGCGATTTAGAAGATGTTTTCTTCCTCGCACGACTTCCTTGTGGAATCGATTACCATCAGCGATTTTTCCGGACCGATACGACTTAGGGACCTTCAAGAAAAGAGCGTACTCCTTTTTAAAAGGCCGGCAACGCATCTGCAATTCCCTCCCTGGTGTTGTAGTTGTTCATGGGCGGCGGTAGTCACTTACCATCAGGTGAGCCGCATGCTCGTTTGCTCCCTCTCCTATAAAAAACAAAGAAAAATTATTATAGCCCTTCACAAATCCCCTGATGAACATAGGCCTCCCCCAAGGAATGCAACAAAGCACGGTCCTGAGCCACCTGCATCCCTTTACTTCCTACATGTTTTACCAGGTCGTTACTCCATCTAGTGGGGGGATGCCCTACACTTCACCTGCCGATACGAGGCTGCCACTCGAGAACCCTTCGTCCCCATCGGTTGTCGGTTCTTCAAGCTATATGGCCGGCCCATTGCCACTTCAGCATACTAATTCTTTGGGCTATGTTGGTTACTCTGGTTCTATGCGGATATCCTCGTTTTAAAGTATATTACGCAGAGAAACGCCGAGCATTTCCCTTTCCATAGCTCGCTGAGCGACTTTGAGCTTCCTCATACGGCCAGCAGTGAAGGACACAAAATACCAGCGTAAAATACATCCACTTATTATCAGGTGGACTGTGTGCTTGTTAATCACCTTTATTCTATAAAAAAAGAAGGCACCGATGACAGATACAGATGCGTTATCTACTCTGAGGACTAAGATGAAGTGCCTCACAGCCTTTAATTGCAAACGCTGTCTATACCCTTCAGGACGGAACAAAGCACTGCAAGTACAGCAAGTAGAAGAAGATAGAAATAGTAAAGGGGGTAGAACCTAACTAGACAGCAGAAAAGGAGTTCTAACACCTACGAAAAGTATCCATCTCAACTGATAGCTTCCAGAGATCCAATCACGCAGACGTTGTTAAAGAGATCAATATGGAGATCATTATTGAGATCAATAAGTTGGACCTTACATTTTTATATAATAATAAAAGATGAAATAAACATCCAACTCATGAACGCACTTCACCATCATCATCATTAGAACCCACTGCTGAAAATAGATATCCACAAAACACAGACACGAGCTATCTGTATACATCTACTTCTTGCATGTTCAACCTGTTTTTTATTGTATAAGGGTGAGAAGCGAGCACACAGTCCACGTGATAGTAAGTGGTTGCTGTGGCCTACATCTATCGTCGTAAACAAACGAAACAAAGCAGCATTAAGCTGCTATTTTACGCTGGTATTCTGTGAGAGCGTGGTCCTTCCCCGGTCGAGCCGATGCATTCGTGCTACAACTATACTATTAATATAGCTGTAGCAGGGCTCTATCACATATATTGGTCGTCATTTATTCTCATTTTTACACTCATTACACTCATTAATTTTCAATAGTTCTGTATAAATAACAAAATATAAAAACTATAAAGTAACTTGGCAATAAAATTTTATACCTTTGATCAATCAAAGCCACGAAATATTATTTTAGTGCCATACCACGAAAACAAACAATTTTTATTAATAATTTAATAGTGTATCATACACGCTTGCATATTTTTCAGTATAGAGTCATAAAAAATTGCTATCATAAATTTTAAACGCTAAAAGCTGAAACACATGTTTTAATTACAGCTGGACCTAGAGATGGTTTTAAAGACGTTGTATAAATCAAATGCTTCCGGTTTTATAATATGGGGGAGCTCTAAGGATGTCAATACGATTGAAAAATGCAACAAGCTGCAAAATTATGTCGATACTATAATGGGACCAGCCATTTCCAAATATGTGAAATACAACCAAAGAGCCGATGATGAACCGACAACTGATAATTCTAACTATATTGTCAACGAAACTGTTACAAAAGAACCAGTTAGTGATGACCAGATAGTTGTCATTCCTGAAAATGTACGGAATAGTAGTACAACGCATCAACCTTTACTAGAAAATACTAAGACCGAGATTAAAAATGAATCATTAAAAATTCAATCCAATAATATTGCATTCGATCCTGAATACCATTGGGTTCCGCCAGAGACATACAATCAAGATATAAAACTTTATGTGGAAGAGGAACTGACAAAAAAAATAAAATATAACAATCTAACAGACGTAAGACACAAATACGCTGACAGTTTAAAAGGAACTATTCTGATAGACATGATAATAAATGCCCTATATGATTCAAAAACGGAAATAAAAATAGAACCGAATTATAACGGCGAACTTGAACCTACAGAAAATGTATTGAATTATGTAGACTTTAACCTACATCAGATCACCGATTTTATGTCACCATCTAAGTACCCACCATTTGAACTGAGTACCAAAAGTCCCATTATAGATGATAATAGAAAAGTAAAAGAAGGGCCTACTTTAAACGACATCATTTTAGGTAGTTATAATCATAATATATATACTACGGAAGATGCTGTGTCTATAACAGCACTAGATAATAATTATAAAGATTTTAACGACCTTGAAACAAAAAATAATCATGTGCCAAGCAATAATAATATTAAAAATTCATCTAATGATTTTATACATCCTAATACTCAAAATGAGTTATCAACTAGTCCGTTTGTGTCAAATGTAGACGTAACATTTATAGATGTGGAGAAGCAAGACCAAACCACAGTTTTCTCATCTGCTGAGACTGAAGATGACTACGTATTTTTTGATATTAAAACAGAAGCCAATATTCTGAGTACCACAACTGATAATGTAAAGTTTTACACAGATGACTTAAATTTCATAACAAGTATATCTAACATAACTACAGAAACAACAACTATTGATACAAATGGACAAATAGGAATAAGTTCAAATTTCGTGACGGAAGACCTTAATATATCACAGTATTCCGTATCTATCACAAAAGAACCCAATTTCACTGATTTGAACGATAGTTCTACAGAATCGGCAACTTTCACTGAAAGAAATGACAAAGAATTTGTTCATTTTCAAAAAGAAGGAAATATCGATGAAATTTCTTCACAACAAACAGATAGCCTATCAATATTCACAGAAAGTGTTAATTCTTCTACAGATTTAGATGACAAAGTCACAGAATCAACAGTATTAGAAGAAGCTTTAGAAGAAAATATGTCATTAGGTACAAGCCAAGAAGTAAACAGCGATGAAAATTTTACTTCTCTCGGTCTTCCTTCTACGGGTTCACCTGATAAGGTGGTTGTATATATTTTATAGCATTTATTGCCTTGTGTTATATTAAATTAACAGGCATTTACTAAAATAGCTTTAGTCGTGTTTAAGAATATTAACAATTTTGCATTTTGTTGCCTGTGTTAAAATGTACTTAATTTTTTTTATGTACGAATTATTAATAATAAGTTGTCTATTTATCTTTGTTACGCTACGACCACTCACACTTTAATAGTTATTAATATTTTTTTTAGTTTGTTGTAATTGTAGCCTGTTGCCCACACTGAAGAGACAAATATTGAGGATGTAGATATTTATTTTTATTTTTTAGTAGAGAAAGAACAGTCAATTGGCTAAGATGCATTTGCAAGATTGACCTTGAACCACAACTTTTACGCCCAAATCCGTTTAAGTTGTGATTTCAATAATGTTACTTTCTTTTTTTTATATTTTATTAATCATTATTTCAAAAGTCTACGTTATCGTGAATTCTTGTCATTTATGATTTTTCAATATTTGTCCATAATTAGAAAAATTATACAAAATGCACTTAAATGCTAATGCCTGTACTTACTTACTTTTATGTAATTTAATTTATGTTTGTAAATTAGCCAAGAGTATTAAAACAACACTGTGTTCTTTACTTATGCTTTAGAATGTCTTTCTTAGCGCATTTTAATTTTTATAACATTTTACTCTGTACAATCAAATACTATAGAGCAGATAAAAAGCGACAACTGCCTACAAGTCGCGGCATGTAAGTCTAGCGCTGAACGAAACGCGGAGGGGACGCGCACGAATTGAATTGCACGAATGTTACTGGAGAGCCAATCAGCGCGTGCGAACGATACGCACGAGCCAATCAGCGCGACTTATGCGCAATAACGGTCACCGCTAGACTTTCATGCCGCTACTTATAATATGGCTAAGGATGCTGCAAACCTGCAAAACGTGGATTCGAAACCGTCATTTGACTACTATCGTTAATTAACCACTTCTAATGAATTAGTTAATTCGTTAACTACACCTAATAAAGTGGTTAATTCGTTAACTACTGCTAAAAAGTGGTTAATTTCTTACTACTGCTAAATAAGTAGTTAATTCGTTAACTACTGTTAAATAAGCGGTTAATTCGTTAACCCTCCTAATGGAATTCTAATGCACTCCGAATGGAGTGGTAGTAACGCTATAGCGTTACAAGACCTTCATAAAATAACTATAATCGAGTACTAGCGCCACTTTTGTCAGCGAGAATTTTCTCATGCTTTATTTTTTTTAAAACATGCAATCGAATAGGAAATTAATGGACAAAATTAATTAATTACTAACTCGTATATTTAAAAATAAAAATTCTAAAAGTTTAGCCCACAATTAGAACTACATCAACAAATAAAAATAATTGGATTTATTAAATATGAATTATAAAATGTTAATTATGCCATTACATAGTTCAAATTACTATTTATGTAGAAATAAAAAACAACCTATACAAAACTAGATGGCGCTTATACAATTTTCCGTGTAATATATGGCAGATGGTGTTACATGTTATTTTTAGATAAATGCTCATAGTATTTGATTGCACAGCTCAAGCTGATCACATTCTTGTTCTGTAAAAGTAATCTATATATAATAATCTGTTGGTGTGTCTGATGGTGATGCTGTAACTTCTGAACGATTTGATCCATTGAGATCATATTCACACAATATAATTGTTTTGTCAAAATAATAGTTCACAGCTATACTAAGATCCAACAGGTGGCGCTGTGATGAAGTTATTAAAGACATATTTATGGATAAAAATTATTCATATTCACAAAATATGTTTGTTTAGTGCCGAAAAAGTCCGGATTGATTTCGTAATGCAAATCATGGCGCCACTTATTGGAAAGAACAGAACAAACTAAAACGTTTCACTTCTATGCATGCTATGATTCGACCAGTGATATGAAATGTATAAAAGTAAAGTAATTTTTTTGCGCCCAGAATCAAAGTGAAGGGCTACCCTCCGGGAAGCGGGGGAAGGGACGTGGTGAATGGTTATGTAGGACTCACTATGAAACCTAAGTGCCTACCCACTAAACACCACCTGAGGCTGGCTTTGGCCTGGAGGACCTTTCTGCCGTATCGGAAGCGACCCCCTTGGGGAAAGGGGGCGCAGAAAGTAAAGTAAAGTTACAGCTTATATACGCCCCCCTCCCGGGCACAAACCTCCTCTCATTTCTGAGAGGGTTTGAGGGCAAGGATTTGTACGTAGCGCTGCTCTAATGCGTGTTGGCGAACTTCACATGTCTTCAAAATATGTTTTTTTTTCTTATTTCTCAGACATGTATGGTTAAATCGAATTCAAACTTTCAATCGTCCCGTAGCTGGGCACATTCTTTTTTTACTACCTTAATATAAGCGATTTTTCAGCGCTATATAAATATCTACGCAAACATGGTCGACGGTTAAAGGTACTTTGAATTTAGCCCGTCTTCAACATATCGCCAAATTGGTCGATAAACTTCCGTCTTAGGCACGTGCCGATACCGACACTTACTTCTGTGGGATTTTTTGTCACTTTTTCCACTTTCATTCATCCTAAGAGTCCAACCGTTTTTTTATTTAACTTTATTTGACATTTATTCATATTATACAAGATAATTATAGAGCCATCTATTAGGAACTACCATTTAGTTAACTCCCACTCTTCTAATTACCAGATTAAGGCGTTGGATTCTCTTACGCCACGCCACCGTGACTGTTGCCGTTACAGCCGTAACAAACGTGTGTCTGAAGTCGAGACTTTGTTGAACAAAGTCTCGGACTGGGGGCGACTAAATCTAGTCCAGTTCAATCCCCAGAAGACACAAGTTTGCGCGTTAACGCTAAAAGGAACCTTTGTTTTGCTCTCTACCATTTCTTCCTCCAATATTCGACCTTTTTAAAAGATATTTCATAAACTGATTATGTACGAGATACACTGTGTCCCTATGTTTTTCTTTTATCAGTAATAGTTATCAAATTTGAATACTAGGGCTATCTGTTGACAGCAGTCTAAATAGGCAATTTTGAGCATTTTGTAATGGCTCTAATGCTTATAAAGGATAATGTATCGTCAAAAAGGAAAACATAAAGACATAGAAGAGGTTGATATTTATTTTACTGCAAAAACTCATTGCTATAATAAACCAGAAAGAAAACAAGAACCCCTTTGTCGTATCTCCTCAGTTTCAAGGCACTCCCCTTCTTGCCACAGCCAGTATAGGAATCCTCGGCGAAGACATATCGAGTGACGTGCAGTTCCGAGGTCACATGGAAGAGAAGGCCAAATTGGCCTCTAAAAATCTTGGCGTGTTCAGCAGAGTGGGACAGTATTTCATGCCGGCACACCGCCAGTAACTTTACAAGGCGCAGATTCGGCCTCACATGGAATACTGTTCCCATCTCTGGCCAGGGGCTCCCCAGTGCCAGCTCCTTCCACTTGACCGTACCCAGCGTAGAGCGGTTCGAATCGTCGACGACCGAGTTCTTTCCGATCGGCTTGACTCACTGGCACTGCGTAGAAATGTTACATATCTTTGCGTATTTTATCGCACATACCATGGGGAGTGCTCTGAGGAATTGTTCGGACTAATTCCAGCCGCTCAATTTCACCATCGCACTTCGCGACAAAACTTGCGATACCAACCATACCACCTGGATGATTGGCGGTCCACCACTGTGCAATTTAGAAGATCTTTTCTTCCTTGCACAATTACCTTGTGGAATCGATTACCACCAGCGATTTTTCCGGACCGATACGACTTAGGGACCTTCAAGAGAGCCTACTCTTTTTAAAAGGTCGGCAACGCATCTACAATTCCTCTGGTGTTGCAGTTGTTCAAGGGCGGCAGTAGTCACTTACCATCAGGTGAGCCACATGCTCGTTTGCCCCCTCTCCTATACAAAAAAAAGCCTATTAAAATCTACGGCTGAACATAGGCCTCCCCCATAGATTGCCTAATAGGGGAATATTTAAAGGTTCTTAAAACCTTGCGAAGTCTAGGCGTGAACAAAGCTAGTGGACCTGATGATATACCAGCTATAGTTCTAAAGGTCTGTGCATCTGAGTTATCTCCTGTATTGATACCCTTGTTCCACCTCTCATTCAGGACTGGAATAGTGCCCAAATCTTGGAAGCTGGCCAAGGTGCAGCCTGTCCCTAAAAAAGGTAGCCGTACCGACCCTGCCAACTATCGGCCAATTTCAATCACCTCCATACTCTGCAAGATTATGGAGCGTATATTGAATACCCACCTCATGGCATACCTGGAGCAGATTCATCTCTTTAGTGACCGAACCAAAAGGTTTGCTTCGACTTTGTAATGCCTACAGCAAAGGAGTGGAATAATTTGCCGGCGTCTATCTTTCCGTACGGATACAATGTGGGCGTCTTCAAGCCAAGAGTGAATAGACTTTTGTCACGCTAAGACAGTGCGATTTACTATCGAAGGCTGCATCACTACTTACCACCAGGTGACTTGTAATAAGAAAAAAATGCCATAGTTGCCACGCTTGGCTAGCGGGTTGGCAACCGTAGTTATTTATTTTAAGTCATTATTGGGAAGACGCTGCTGCCTATCTCCCGATTTATTTCCCTCTGTCATCTTTTACGATACCCGTGGAATGATATGGGGTAGTGGATACATACCACCCTTAAAGTATCGACTGTCTCGTTGGTCTACAGGTCGTAAGCGTGACTACCGATCAAGTGATCCTGGGTTACAATCTAAAGAACAGGTTATTAGGTTTTCCGTTGAGAATTGTGCTTCATTCCTGTGTATCAGAAAGCACGTATCACCTTTGGTACTGCGCCTGATCCCTTCCGTTCCTATCGAATTATCATCCCATCGTATAACAAGAGTGAGGGAGTAGAAAGAGCACATATACGCTCCGTTAAAACTGGTCCGAAATTCGGTCGGTGACATTATATAACAACCGAGTGATACACCTAAAACTACATTTCATATCACTGTCCATCACAAGAAACTGTCAATAGTGAATAATATTAGTTATGCATGCTTATAACACTGACAAGATATCGTTATAAATAATTAGTATTAAACTGTTATAACTTATAACTGCTTTCTTCTTTGTGCAAAATAGATAATTTTCTTAATTCGTTCTAACGTACTATAAGGACTACCAAGTCATTTTGTGACAGTAGATATATCTGGCATAGACAAAGCACCATTGTTTTTTTGCCGCGCTTTCTTAATTCTTTATTTAAATATATGAAGTGCTTCCAACTAGAAATAAATCGCAGTGTATGCTAGCTTGCTACATATATATTTATCTATGGTGTATGCCTTAAGCGCAATGCGCGTAGGTATGTTCTATTAGCGCCTAAAAATCAAGATTCCGTTTTGTCGCATGAAATCGTATCTAACAATCATATTGAACTTATAAATTATATAAAAAGCACATTGTCAGAAAGATAAAATATTGTTGAACTTATTAATATTTTTTTAATCGATTAATTACTATTTTTTCGAGTGGTAAATACGAACTTTTGAAAATATCTATTGTTTAACTCAATCTATTTTTTAATCCCTTCATCTATCATGTGGGAAGCCATGGAATGTTAAGTTTGTTTTGTTTAGTTATAATTATTTTTTTTCGGCTTAGAAATCTCGAAATTTTCGGTGTTTTGAGCAGCCTTGTAATAATTTATTTTATTAAATAGACTGCCTCACTCACTAACTTTCACTTCGGCCTCAGCCGCCGTCGTGAGTGGATACTGTATCGGTTGTTTGCAGTGGCTCAAAAAGATCGCTGTACAAATGCAAAATATTAGAAAAACCAAATTTGATACATACTTGATTATTATAATAATCACAGATTTTTTATTTCAATACTTTAAAAGCACAGAATAAATAATAGTACTACGTACTTCAAGTAAGTAGGATGTATATATTTGAGAATATTTATACTTAAATACGTCTTGGACTATATGGAGTGACCTGAATGATGATATGGTGATCATATGAGCATTATGAGTTGCGCACTTTTGGATTTTCCAAACTTTTTTGAACTGAAGTTTGACATAAAATTATCGGAAAATTGGAAGTATAATAATAAGGTTATTAGTAAAAACTTGTGTATAATTAAACTACTTTAAAAATTTACGTATAATCATGTTATACGTAATTTTTTAATGCGCTTAGAGCATACACAATGAGATTTATCAATAGTTTATTACTTTTAACATTCAAACCACAACACAGTATTAAAAAACATTAGCTTTGTCTATGACTGAGTCTAACGTTAATTTATTTATATATTTGCTTGCATAAAGATTGTCCGTCGGTGTGTTTAAATGTGTTAACATTTCTTTGCGTAGGTCGCTACAAGCAACATCGCTAACGGGTCGAAGGATTTAATATACACATATTATATGTTTATTATATATCTTAAAATGTTTATGTGATTTACACAGTAAATATTCTTAAGATCCAATTTATTCTTGTACCGTTTCATCTGTGATATTAAGTGAAATATAGTTAAAATATAACATATTGTATCAATGTAAAATTTATTTTAGACTGTAAGTACAATTAAAAACCTATGTTACTTTTTTCTTTTTTATTTCTATTTCCTATGTCTTTAAGACCTGATACACACAAATAGACTTATAGCGAAGATAGAATAGCTTCTATGTTATTCTTTGCGTTATGATATCAGCCTATTGTCGTTGTGAGGTAGACGTTTCAACAGATTCCCATGATTGTCTCCGTAATTAGTAGGAGATTTCGCGGACAACGACAAGAACAAGGACAATGAGGAAATTTTCATTATTATCATAACAGCCGTTCACAAATCCATTGCTGAACATATGCCTACCCCAAGGAATTCACAAAGCACGGTTCTGAGCCACCTGCATGCAGCACCGAATTCCTGTATTTTCTTACAAGTCGTCTCTCCATCCAGTGGGGGGCTACACTTCGCTTACCGGTATGACGCTGTCACTCGAGAACCTTTCTTACCCATCGATTGTCGGTTCTTAGAGCTATATGGCCTGCCCATTGCCACTGCAGCTTACTAATCCGTTGTGCTATGTCGGTTACTCTGGTTCTACTATCACGCAGATACTTGGATCGTAGCTCGCTGAGCACCCTTGAGCTTCCTCATACGGCCTACAGTGAAGGACTACATCTCAGATCTATAAGTCATCATTGGCAACACGTACTGGTTGTACAATCTTGTTTTCAAGTTTTAAAGATGTGTCGTAATCTCCCAAACGCTGCCCAGCTGTGTCGAAACCGCCGATTAACTACTCGGTTGAAGTTGCATTTACCTAGCCGGCCAATTTGTCTTTGTTGTAAAGCCATGCTGCAGCTATACCTATAATGGTTACAACGTGAATTGGTCTGCTCGACCAAGGAAGGACCACACTCTCAGATTACCAGCGTAAAATAATAGCTTAATGCTGCTGTGTTTCGTATGGTGAGCGTGGAGAACCTGAGACCCTTTTTACATGAATTGAGACAAACATCACCGGTGGTATGTGTGCTCGGTTATCATTGTTATTTATGAAAAAGGCGCTACAACTTATCTTCTGTTTTGATCCCCTCAACGGCCCACTGCTGAACATAGGCCTACCCCATAGATTGCTTCATAGGGGGGATATTTGCCATAGTTGTAATGTTACTGTAGATCTAATAATTTCACCTCTCAGCGGGTCATGTGCTCCTGGTAGATTATCTTCTATACATCCATCTATTACAGCCTATAAGTCCACTGCTGAACATGGACCTCCCCCATAGATTGCATAATTGGGGGGATATTTGCCGTAGTTGTAATGTTACTGTAGATCTAATAATTTCACCTCTCAGCGGGTCATGTGCTCCTGGTAGATTATCTTCTATACATCCACCCATACAGCCTATAAAAGTCCACTGCTGAACATAGGCTTCCCCCATAGATTGCCTCATAGGGGGGATATTTGCCATAGTTGTACGAGTAATGTTACTGTTGATTTAATAATTTCACCTCTCAGCGGGTCATGTGCTCCTGGTAGATTATTTTCTATACAGCCATCCATTACAGCCTATATAAGTCCAGTTGAACATAGGCCTCCCCCATAGGGGGGATATTTGCCATAGTTGTCACGTTGGCGAGCGGGATGGCAACTGTAATTTTTTATTGAGTTGTTTTATATCGCAACTACACGGTTAATTTAGTAATATTAGGTAAAATAAGGTAAAATTTTCATAAATAAAACCAGAATAGTCATCAACATATAATATATTAATAAACTACACAAGGATACATTCAGTCAACTCTATAAATATACATGGTTATTTTTTAAAAGAGTAGCCATAGTTTTTCCACTTAAGTTCAAATATATAAATAATAATATACCGTTATTACAGTTTTGGAAAATACGAGTAATTATGGCTTTTACTTTTATTTGAAATTATTCCAAATTGAATGTGGTTTATGGGCAACAAAGCTACGAGTATGCGTTCTCAGCTGCACTGTGTGCGATTCAGTTCACGTTTTGCCGGCCGATCGACCCTTAAGAATGTGTGCGTGCGTAGTAAAATAAGCTATTTATGAATGACAATCAGTTGAAATAATGCATTATTTTGAATTTAAAAGGTAAAAAGGACAGATTGTTTGAGATTTTTCTGAATTCATTTTTCTTCACCATTTACCTATTACTTATTCTGAACGTCCTCTGCAAATACGGCTGGTTATTGAAAAAAAAAAACCCTGTATATTTGGTTTAAAATACATTACTGTGTTGTGTTTTTTTTTTGTACAGTCAAGAAAAGTATAAAGTAGACAAAGACCACACTTAAAATTTTTGTATTAGATCTATACGTCAGTTATATAAAGTTCTCGAATTTATTTAAAAATGAACTATTAACCTAATTACACAATTCTTAAAAAAAAATCTTTTAAAAGTTGAATAAACAAGACAAAAGTAGTCAAAACTGTTCAACCCAACACCATTAGACAATGTTACGCCATAAGGATCAAAGCCGACCATCGAGTCAAAAGTCTACACTTTCAAATTGGTAAAACAATTTGGGTAAAAGTCGCAGCCGTTATAAAGAAAGAATCATCAAATCATAGTACGTATTATATTTATTATTAAAAAAAAAGTCTAAACATCAAACTTCATTATTTAAATACAAGCTTTTAACGGAATTGGATTATTTTCGCATAACTCATCAGCCTTCAAACTACAATAATATGATTTTCAATCCTAAGATAAAGTTATTTATAGGATAAAATACAACATAAACAAATTAAAAACAACAGTTTTATGAATAAAACAGTTCAATGAAGGTTAATAATTTTCTGCTCACCAGATGTCGCTAGTTGACACTGAGGTAAAGTTTTTTGTTACACAAGGTAATTTAATTGAGAAGTTGTTTTTAGTAAAAGGATATCAGTTTTTTTTTTATTGTAACAAAATCTACAGCTTGTACATTTAACAATATATAAACAAGAGAACATTTTATGTTATATAGAAGCCTTTATAGATTTACATTTTTTTTGCATGAATTTTAATTTTTTTTTGTCTTCAGCAATGTTAACAAATAGTATACAGCGTATAGCAAAAAAGGTCAATAAATTCTATATTATATTATTACACAAAACAATGCGTCAGTTGTTTGCACTTTTTTAACTTTGTTTTAATTTTTCTAATTTTACGAACATCTGTGGTTTGGTTTATTTAGTTTTAATGTTATTAATATAAAATAAAGCTAATAGTACAAAAAGAAACAATAACCTTTACATTTTGAACACAAATTAACTTCCCCACTATGAAATCTGTCAAATATTGTACCTCACTTTCTAGCGGCGCCGCCCTGGTGGCAGAAAAAGTCGTGGTTTCACCTTTATATATGCTTTTCTTTGGTAATAAACTCTTACCTAGTATCCAGTATTTAAGAAATTATTCATTATAATAATTTGTTTGGAAACTTCTGAGTATGTTGATGCGTCACATTGTGAAGTTTTTGAGAGAATTTGACGGCAGCTTGAGCTAGCAGACAGTTGATGATGGTAGTATCTAAAGGCGACTATTATCATAAGGTTCACATCACCATCGGATCACTGTTTCATCGTTTCTACAAATAGTTCACATGTGCAGACATTTAATACACAAAATCGTACCATTTTTACGTATCAACATTTACTTCAAACCGTTATCTTCTATACATATAATAAAACTGTAAATAGCAGATGTCTGTACATTTTATATTTTTGTAATAAAAGTGATTGAGGGGTACTAAAAATAAATAATTAAATACATTTCTACCATTTTTAGAATTTTCTGTCTGTCTGTCTGTCTGTCTGTTTGTTTGTTAACGTATCACGTATAAAGTACTAATTTATATCATAAGAATTGTTAAGGAAATTATAAAGTGTATCTTCGGGTTACATTTAGTCTTTATTTCATTAAAATCAGTTCATTCCATCAAAAGTTATGATAAATATTCTGAAGTATGGGTAGGGAAGTATAGGTACGAATTTGCTCAACGGTGGCTTTGTTTGAGTCATCAAGTGCATTTTAAACTAATATCATATCATAAATCATAGTTAAATTATGTAAAATAATGATATAATTATGTATATCTAAAATGCAGTAAACAAAAGTATTAAAGAACGTATTAAATATATTATACAAAAATATATTAACCTTATTAACTAAATCTGAAGCACAATAGTTAACCCATTTCTTCGATAGATGGTGGTGTTGTGAAAATGTAATGCAATTGCAATGTGGTTTTTTCCTGTAGATGAGTTTTCATATTTACTGCTAATCTTTATTATATTACTCGCTGCCCTACTGCGTGTTGACAAACTCAATTTATTCTTTACCGCCGAGTAAATCAAATTTTAAAAGAGCTATTAATAATTGCGTTGGTTTTGGCGAGAGTCAAACTTTATTTTTTGCTTACTGTGCAGGCACTGATTTATAAGTTCTCTTACGTTTTATATAATGTATCAATCGCGTCAATTAATGTCTTTTATTTTTAGAATTGATGTTAGCAGCGCCATCTCTCTTTAAATATATACATATAATAAAAATGATGATAACATGTTGTGTCTCTTTCTGTACATTGTATATATATTTTGGTGGCTAAAATCATTATGGGGAACTGAAAATAATTAAATAAGAACATTTTATAATTTTTAGAATTGTCTGTCTGTCTATTTGTCTGTTATTATATGAACGCATCACGTCTAAAGTAAACATCTTTTATTTTCAAAGAAATCGTTAAGAAAATCTAACGTTAAAAATAAAGCGTATCTTCGAGTTACATTTAATCTTTGTTTTATTAAAATTGGTTAATTCTATCGAAAGTAATGATTATTATTTTGAAATGTAGGTTCGAATTTGTTCAATGGCGCCATAAAATCTCAGAAATAGTAATAAAAAGATTTGTGTGTAAAAAAAAACGTTCCATAATAATTAATATATTTATACTTAAAACATAAAAAGAGATTTAAAAAGGATGTTTTCTCACACAAAGGACGTAATAGATGGAGTTGTACAAATTACAAACTTTTCTGAATTGCTGTGTTGAGATTTTTCGCCGATGAATCGTATTGAGACTTACTGAAGAAATTTGTTTCCATCGAAGCCATACAACAGAACGCGACCAAAAATAAAAATTTTGCAACGAAATGTCGTGATATTGTATTTATAATATACGCAAAATCAGTACTGCCATTTTAGCGCTTTGGGAACTAGATTTAGCGCTTTTTTGGAATGTATAGCGCGCATTTCGAAATTTTAGCACCTAGCGCTTAATCCAGCGCTTTTTGGTGTATTTAGCACACATTTCAATATTTTAGCGACTAGCGGGTTATTAACTCATTTATAGCAGCACTGTTAGTCCACATTACCGATAATAATAATAATGACCTTTATTATTTTTTCCCACAAATAATACATTGCAGTTTATCTTTTTCAAACATATTTTTTCCACAAAACAAAGAGCATGGGAGACGAGTCCAAACTAGGATACCCTGTGCTATGGATCTCCTGGCTTCCCCTTTAGAATGATCAACTTGATTTTTTTACCGACGACTATAAGCGGGGAAATCCCCTTTATTAAAGTTTTCGTTCATGGTTTTGGCAACGCATTTATTTTGCTTTATTCAGTTTCAGTCAGTTGCTTAGAGCACAGCTAAGTTAAAAGTTACTTAGAAGTTATAACACAAAGAAACTGTGTAGCAACCGCAATCAGATGCTGACATCTGAAACTAAGTTGCGAAATACATTGCACTTTAAAACAATTAATGACATTTTTATTGTTCGTACAGTACTAACTACTGTTGACAGCAATTGCCATAATTATAAGTCGATGTCCTGCGAAGTATTGATACATCAAAAAAATATTGCCAGAAAAAAAACTTAATGTTGTTTTCTTTATTATGATTATATAAAAAAACACAAACTTTGTTTGTAGTTAATTTAGCGCGAAATCTAGGGCTTTTTTTAAAGCGCTGTTTGCATGAAATCTAGCGCTTTTTGTGTTGTCCTAGAGCTGAATGAGTTTTTTTTTATCTGGCAGCACTGCCCAAAACCCTCTATTAAGAAGTAACTTTCCTTTCAGTTTTAAGCGCGTTCAGTTCCCAGTTACAGTGAGCGTGTGTTATGCGATGACCGTAAATATAGCGCAAGGTCAAACTTTACGCGTTGTAGGAGTGTACCTCAGTACTGACTGTTTTGCACATGGCCAACTCTATGTTGCTTTTTCCCGCGTTAGTAGCCCCGGCTAAGCCTACTTCTATCGTCGTTTACACAGAAGCTCCATCATAAACGACTTACTTTGATGATAATGATTTATTTTGGTACCACTTATTGATACAGTAATGAAATAAATCGTTTAATATTCTCTTACCTAAACGACAAATTCTTTATGTAAAACCTGTATACGCGAGCTACGCCGCGGGCACAGCTAGTTTTAATAATAAAGAAGTAGCGATCCGCCACTGATCGAGTTCCCGCCAAAACTTCCACGTTTATATTTATCCCATTAATTTTCACATGCATCCTCTACAGTTGACACACGCAAAGACTTTCTTTTTCTTACATATATCACGAATGCTACTTTAATGAAATCAATTTAAACTAATATGTAATATTTTAACCCAAACAAACATAATTTCAAACAACTGTGTATACGTTTAAAAGCAAAGTTAAAGACATTTTATTCAGTTTGGGCGCATTTTTAACATCCAAACCTTACCGAACCGAAGAGGTTTCGATGTTAAGTCAGCCACTTCATCTCTGTAGTAGAGTGTAGACTAACTGGCTGAGTGAACCAAAAAAAGCTAAGAAATACTGATAATTCTATTTCACATTTAAAACAATTGAATAGATATTTGGGAGTTTTGGTCAGAACTTGACCATCGGTGGATTGGTGTTCCTTTATTATTGCTTAAATAAAGGTGTTCCGATGGTAATGTGACCCTGAAGATAACATAGCAGACAGTCGTCGACGACAGTATCTGAAGCCTATGGTGCCTTCAGATACTGTCGTCGTCGTCTGCTGGCTCAAACTGCCGTCAAAATCTCCAAAAAACTTCGCAATGTGACGCACCAACATATTGTGTAGAAGTTTTAAACAAAATATCATAAACAATAATTTCTCATTATTTCACACTGGCAAAAATACAACCGTCCATTACAAAAAAAGGAATATGGTGCCATTACTATTGCATTGTGCCAGCCAATCACCATAGCCAAAATCATTTTATTTCCATTTTTAAAACACAAAAAAATAATTATACACCACACAAAACAACAAAGCAATAATTCTTGAACAGCAAAGTAGTTTCCTCGTCCGTGATGAAATTTCTATCAGGTCTGACACTCGCAAAGGGATTATTCTTGGCCACTGATATAACTTTGTAATTTACTTGTGTATGGTTTTCGACGTATTCTAAATCTCTTTGCAATTCCTCGAGCGTGTGAGATGTTATAAGAAATGGGACTTTTTGCTTCATAATACAGTTGATGGTGGATGGCCATGCATTAGTTTCATTGTACAACGATGATCTTTGGATGTTGGGGTTGAAAGCGCATACTGAAAGATGATATTATTTTAGTAGGTATTATTTACTATTTAATTGTTTTATCACTATTCTATTCTTATGGCCCTCATTTCTCAGTTGACGGCCGAAGAATTGAATCTATCTATCTACCTGTTACAGCCTATAAAAGTCCACTGTTGAACATAGGCCTCCCCCATAGATTGCCTCATAGGGGGGATATTTACCATAGTTGTAATGTGTTGTAGTGGGTCATGTACTCCTGGTAGATTATTTTCTATACATCCATCATTACAGCCTATAAAATTCTACTGCTGAACATAGACATAGCCTCCCCCATAGAGTGCCACGTAGGGGGGATTTTGTCATAGTTGCCACGCTTGTCAGGCAGGTTGGTAACCGCAGTTTTTTTTTATTCAGCAGTTATCAGGAATATGCTCTGTTACTTCTTACGACACCGACGGGACCATGTGGGGTAGTGAGTATTGTTACACCGCCACTACACGGTTAAAAAGTTTAATACAAGAAAATATTTCATTTAATCTATGTATATTTTAAAAGGCGAAGAGAAAACTTCACATTCCTTTTTAAGCACATTGCGCGCACGGAGGGGTGTGAGATTTGGCATGGAAGTTTATATAGAAAGGAATGCAAAAAGCTAAAATTTATAAATAATACCACGTACACTTACATTAAATTAAATTAAATTATACTTTAATTGTATACGTTCATACTATCAATGACTCAGAGTATGAACGAGCATATTATGTTTGTTATTATTCTGAGGTCAATGTCAAACGCTTAATAGTCTGTGGTTAAACAATTGCATATAGAGAGTAGAGACTATCGCCAAAGAATTTTAAAATGTTGCCAACAAATAATTTCTGACAGAATGAGTAAATGTAATTAAAAGTCAAATACGCCTTGTGTACAAACCTAAAAATTTAATGTTATTACCGGTTGAATTTCGACCACTAGGCGAACTCTAGCATTAATAATTACATAACATTATATTAAAAAAAATTACAATTGAAAGTCATGGTTTTTTAACATTTGAGAATCACGATCTATAACATACAGCAGAAAGCGACGACTTGATTCGGTGATTTGTTCGGGAGCTATGGGTCGTGATTTCGAATCCGTATTTGTGTGTCCTACAAATAATTAGTCCGGTTCCTTCAATGCTAGTATAGGAGCGTGTGAGTGTAGAGAACCGGGGACCCTTTTTACTGGAAACGAGGCATTCCATCTAAGTAGTGGCAACGTATCTGGATTTTTGTTTTCTTAATTGGGGGTAGATGTAGACATATGGTGAACTGTGTGCTCGTTTGTTACCATTATTCTATAAAAAAATCGGTTGCCCCTGAAGGCCATCCATGGAAATTTCCGCTATGTTCGATCTCAAAACGCTCGACGAATATTCAGTTTTCGAGCTTAATATATTATATGTTTTTTCGAAATTTTTCGTCATCGGTTTCTCTTCAACGCATCAACCGATTTTGAAGCGGTTTGCAGCAATCAACGGCGTTTTTGTGTGTAAGAGCTGATTAGAATTTTGAATTGATAGTCATATCTTTTTAACAGTTATTCAATAACAACATTTTTTAGAAAATTTTACGTTTGAGATTTCTCAAAATCTGGTTCAAATCGTTCAACATACATACATACAGACATAGTAACATCCTCGTAGGAATAGTCAGGACTGCTACCTAGGACCTCCAAACGTCGACATCTGATGAAAACTCGATTTACAAAAACTGGGGCGAAACTAATAACTTCCTGATTTTTTGAAAATCGTTGATTTTTAAAGCGGGAAGTTATAACTATATATATAATAATTATATATATAATAATTATATTTAGATAAAACATACCAATATCTGGCACTGTAAAGTCGTCACTAGACCAGTATTCATGATATGACTTGTCCTGGAAACTGAACTGCACGCGCCTTTTTCTCATACAGCAGTGATCGCAGAGGCTGCAATAAAAACAAATGTTTTATGTACTAACCGTCAGCATAACTATTAATACGTAGTAAAGTCACGCTGCAGATATATTTAGACCCTTTTTACTATAAACGAGGCATCCCATCTTAGTCCTCAGGGGTGACAACGCATCTGTATGTTGACTCTTAATCGATGATAAATGACTATGGTCCACAGCATCCACTTATTATCAAGTTGACTGTGAGGCCGTTTATCACCCTTATTCTTTTTTTTTATAGGATAGAGTGACAAACGAGCACACAGTCCACCTGATGGTAAGTGGTTGCTGTGGCCCATAGACATCTACATCTATCCTCTATTACAAATCAAAATGCAGATGCGTTGTAACTCGTGAGGACTAAGATGGAATGACTCATTTCCAGTAAAAGGGGTCTATAAAATAATATAATGGTTGTAACATGCATGGGTCGGCTCGACCGGGGAAGGACCACGCTCTCACAGAATACCAGCGTAAAATAGCAGCTTAACGCTGCTGTGTTTCGTATGGTGAGTGTAGAGGACAGGAGACCCTTTTGACTGGAAACAGTGCATTCTATCTTAGTCGCTATATATAGATGCTTATGGGTCACAGTATCCGCTTACCATACCAGGTTGTGTGCTCGTTTGTCACCCTTATTCTATAAAAAAAATCAATCTCTTCGTCATAACCGTCCGTTTAACCTAACAACAATATATTGACCAGGTAATGGCGGTGTAAGAATATCCACTACCACTATATCATCCCGTGGGCGTCACAAGAGGCGACAGAGGTAAACTAAAACAGGAGACCGGCAGCAGCATCTTGATAAGATCTCGGAATTATAAAATACTGCGGTTGCGAAGCTATCTTACGTGGTAGAGCCATGCTGCAGCTATATTAGTAGTATAGTTGTAGTACGAATGGGTCGGCTCGCCCGGGGAAGGACCACGCTCTCACAGAAAACCAGCGTAAAATAGCAGCTTAACACTGCTGTGTTTCGTATGGTGAGTGTAGAGAACCGGAGACCCTTTTTACTGGCAAAGAGGCATTCCATCTTAGTCCTCACGGGTGACAACGCATCTGCATCTTGAGTCTTTATTGAGGATAGATGTAGATGTCTATGGGCTACAGCAACCACTTACCATCAGGTGGACTGTGTGCTCGTTTGTCACTCTATACTATAAAAATAAAAAATAAAAAAAATAAAAAAATACCAGCCAAGCGTGGCAAAAGTGAACTTTTATAGGTTGTAACGGTAAAATACTACTATAAATAGGTAATAATTTTTTATAAATAGGTAATAAATAAATAAATTTTTTGAAAAAATTGGACACAGCTAAATTCTGAAATATAATTGTGTTGTAAAATGATAAATCATACCTCATATTAAAATGAGTTGTAATTAAAAATCTTACCAGTTTTTATTTTTTATTTTTAAAAGTTATAAAAGTTGCTTGAATGATTTTATATAATTTATATGTGTGTTATTATTATGTACCTTGACGATACCGTGACCGAAAATCGGGTTGGTTTTTATAGGTAGTAAATTAATAATTTAAAATAATATTTTTTTATAGGATAAGGGTGACAAACGAGCACACAGTCCACCTGATGGCAAGTGGTTGCTGTGGCCCATAGACATCTACATTTATCCTCGATGAGGAATCAAAATGCAGATGCGTTGTCACCCGTGAGGACTAAGATGGAATGCCTCGTTTCCAGTAAAAAGGGTCTCCGGTTCTCTACACTCACCATACGAAACACAGTAGCATTAAGCTGCTATTTTACCAAGAATAACAGACAGATTTAAAATCAGAAACAGAAACCGCATCAGTAACAGAAATAGAAACACAAACAGAGACATAAATATATATATAAAAATAGAAATATTAATTAAAAGTATTTTAAGTGGTTAAATGTTTATGATACAATTGGAATATATTTTAAACATATACAACTCTCACTTCATCTTGCCCAGTAAATCCAGCGGCAGTTTGGAGGGATTGAGTTCAGTTCCGATTAGTGTCACACGGAGATCTTTCACGTCTGGCTTCAGATGTAGAAGGAACACCTCCCACTTGTCGAGAGAGTCCGCTTCGAATTGGAGCTCAGCTCCTACAGCGTGGACGGTGAAAGTTGATCTCTGAAAACATACTCAGATTATCCCTAAACTGCCACCGCAAAATTTTTCGTTTCAAAAAATTAAAGTTTCAAAAGAACTTAAGGCCGTACACGTGGTAGAGCCATACTGCAGCTACATAGTTGTAGCACGAATGGGTCGGCTCTACCGGGGAAGGACCACGCTCTCACAGAATACCAGCGTCAAATAACATCCACTTACCATCAAGTGGACTGTGTGCTCGTTTATCACCCGTACGAGGATTCTATAAAAAAACATAGCATAGTATATAGACCATGGAAAACGACAACAGACCTAACGATCTAATGTTACAATAATCATATTTCTGGAAGAGTTACCTTATTAAGCCCATTGGAGTAGTTGACCGCCTGGCGATAGATCTGGTGGCAGTAGGCAGCAGTGAGCGGTGCTGTCGCGAGTTGAGTCAACGCTGCGTACTGGATGTCTGACATATCTGATGGTTTAAATATTGATTTTTATTATATATTTACAATGAATCACTATCTTCACGCCAGAAAGTCCATTGCTAAAGATATACCAACCAGCAAAAGCGTATACTATAAGTATAGCAATCAAGGAAACGTTTTCAGAAACAGTTTACACGTGGTAGAGCCATGCAGCAGCTATATTAGTAGTATAGTTGTAGCACGAATGGGTCGGCTCGACCGGGGAACTACCACGCTCTCACAGAATACCAGCGTAAAATGGTAGCTTGATACTGCTGTGTTTCGTATGGTGAGTGTAGCGAACCGGAGACCCTTTTTACTGGAAAAGACGCATTCCATCTTAGTCCTTACAGGTGACGACGCTTCTGCATTTTGATTCTTTATTGAAGATAAATGTAGATATCTATTGGGCAACCACTTGCCATCCAGTGGACTGCGTGCTGTTTGTCACCCTATCTTATAAAAAAAATGCAGCAGCTATATTATAGTTGCATCACGAATATGTCAGAGTTACCGAGAAAGAACCACAATTTCAAATACCAGCGAGAAATAGCAGCTTAATTCTGCTGGGTTTCGTGTGGTAAGTGTAGGGAACCGAAACCTTATTACTGGAAGTGAGGCATTCCATCTTACTTCTCAGGGTTGGCAACGCATCTGCATTTTGATTCTTAATCGAGGTTAAATGTAGATGTCTACGGGCCACAGCGTCCACTTTCCATCAGGTGGACTGTGCACTCGTTTGTCACCCATATTCTATATAAAAAGTGATGACGACTATGGCAAAACAGACGAAATACAGAAACACATAAATGACGGCGTTTGATAAGTTAACAAATTATCTCACCGATTTTCTCATCATACATCGAAGCTAGAACTTCATTTATCTTCCCCGGTATAACGTAGTCGTCCATCATCACATTGGCGGGCAACTTCGGCATCAGTCTCCCCTTCGACTGCTGATACAACACAAGCTTCTGATAGAGGGCGTAGGACTTGCACCAGCGCTGATGGTTCGGTGATAAGTGTTCTGGATGTTCAATGCAGTATGATACCTATAATTTGTTCATCTATTCAGCGAATGAGCTTTCAACAATCAATCATCATTAAACTCTTTTAAAACTTTGAAGTTCGAATTCTATAGCCAACTATCTTAATTAGCCTTTCAGTTAATAGCCTAACCTTTTTACTAAACGGCGTCGTTCAACTAGAGGCTGAATGATATTTAGTCGATGAGTCTACAACATTGTACCTATCTAGTAATATCAGCTTATGGTGTGGCTGCACTAAATATAGCACATTTTAACTTTTTTTAATTCCCGACATTTCGAGTACTTTACAGCACCCATGGTCATGGGAGGAGGGGTGGGCAAATTGTTTGACGTCCTGATGTCATAGTTTCACTGATGTGAAGCACCTGCAGCCCGTGAACCATTCCAACTATTATATCAGATTTGATAGACCACAAATTCTCGCAAAAGAACACCGATTCCTACCAAAGATGACTCGCGATGCTATTGAAATAAAAAAACTTGCTAATTTCAATAGAGAAGATAGCTGGGTGCTGCCATCTGCTTGGGATCCCATAATTAATAAAATTAAATCCAAACCCAAGCATACTACTGTTTGTACCCTTTTTTGACAAGGTGAAAAAATAAATATAATAAAAACAAGTACCCTGTAGGCTTACCTGACCACACCCCTCGCAGTCCATTAGTTTTGATTGCCTCCACTCTCTACACTGAACATCCGCACATATCCTCGGGTAAAGCAAAGCCTCCTGTTCCCAGGGTAAAAGTTTGCGCTTGAGTACCTTCTCGCAAGACAAAATCATCTGCATTCTTATTAAACGATAATTTTGTCCGGACATATTCTTTGCATCGGCGTATATGTATTTTTGATCTAAAATTTACATTTTCATATCAAAAACATAACTGTGTTAGGGTAGGATATATTTTTGATAAAATTTAAAGATAACATAAACTCAAAGAAAAACACATAAAAGTAACCTTTTAAATGGACTATTGTAGAAACTGCAAAACATAATGATTGGTGTCGGGGCCAGTCTTCATCCTTGTGCTTTTGGCTACAATAAAAAATCAAATTGCAAAACTTGCAAGGCAATCGTAGCTGCTTTAAATCTTTCCTACAAACGTGACAAGCGCTAGCAAGAAAAACTTTTCGGAAACTGTATTTATATACGTATTCGTCTTTTTCATTAGTCACATATAAAAATGATTCCACGTTTTTATCTTTTGACAATTTAAATTTGGAATCTGTTTGCGACTGCTTAGACTTTTTAAGTGAAAGATTATCTAATTCTATATTCACATCATCATCTTTTATTTTCACTTTGGCCTGTTTAGAGTTAGGCGTTTTATTCTTTTCCTTTTTATAATCGGTTTTACTCGATGATACAGATATTTTGGGTTGGCCAAGTAAGTTTTTTGGCTGTGAAACAGGTTCTTTTTGGTTTCCATCTTTCCCTGCGTCCTCTAATGGAGGTGTTATATTGATTTCTGGATTATTGAAAAATGATTCTTTTTGTACTTGACTGTCTTGAGGATCATTGTTTAATTCATTAGCAATTACCTCAAATGTTTTGTTTACGTCGACATCGTCAACACTGGTTGATAATGCGTCTTCGAAATTTTCAATTGGTTCAAAACGCAACTCTGATGACATTGGTTCAATTGAACTATCATTTTCACCAGAATCCTTTTGTTTGCCTTTTTCGTCGGAAGATTTGGGTTTTTCTTCACTTTTATTGTCATTTTTTGTTTCTTGGGATTGTGTTTCGGCTGTAACATTTGCTGTTTGGGATATAGTTTCTGGTTCTCTTCTTCCTCTCTTTTTAGTTTTCACCTTACCTTTACGATCTTTTCGTGACGGACAAACAGGTATTGTAACATGTTCATTTGCTGCTGTAGGCAAATTCTCATTGACTAAGTCATCTTTCTGAGTAGATATGACAGGTTCTTCTTCTACGCGAGTAAACTTATTTTCAATTTCATTTAATCGATCTGCTAAGGGTTTGTATATATTCGTTCCCTCTACTGGTATATCTGATTTTGGTTTATTTATTTCATCTGTTTTTGTTTCAGCCATTTCATATGATTTCATTTTATTTTCGCAATTTTGATCATCTTTTTCGATAGCGTTCAATTCTGCAAGAGATTTTTCCAGGGACATTTTTAACTCCTGTAAATCTTGATTGACCTCCATCATTTTAGATTTTAAATCAGTTTTTTCTTCTTTATTTGATATACTTTCCAACTCAGTTACATTTATACCAGTATCAACTATGTTCGGGGTTGATACTGGCGTCTCCCCAGAACCCTGTATTATATTAGAAGTTAAAATGGGGATTCCCAATTTTATTTCATCTGTTAAAGTTATTTCTTGTATAATCACATTGCTATTATTATTATCATCTAATAACTGCTGACTGTTTGAGCGAGGTATGTCAATTGAATCAGGAGTCTTCTCGTTAAATTCATCCAAATTTGTTGTTATATTGTGACTCATATCTTTTTGTATTGAAATATCCTGCTTGTTTATAATGTTTTCATGTATCAGCTCGGTCTCAATTATAGACTCTGCCTTAATATCTACCATTTTATCTTTTTTGGCAATAGAAACCTCTTCTGGCTTGTGGCTTAATTCCTTTCCAACATTAACTTCACAAAATTCAATTGTATTTGTTTCCTCCGGCAGTTTCCTTTTCTCCTCAGTTTTAAGTTTATATTCACATTCTTTGCCTTTGTTTGATACTTTTTTTATATTATCTAAGGGATTTACGGTTTCTTCACATTTTTCTAAACTATCTCGCGTGTTTTCCGCATGAATGTCACCAACGTTTTTAACAGAATATTCAGTTTTTTCTGGATTTTGACTTAATTGAGAAGATTCTATCAACTGAACTGGTGAGTCTTTAGTTATGTCTGTTGAACTTAAAGTTGATTCATTTATGTTTTTCTCAAATAAAGTACTTTCAATATCCATTATCCTTGAACCACTTTCAGTTGTTACTGTGTTGTCATGATCACGCATACACTTCATTTGCACAGGCTTATCAACAGTTCCTTGTAGTTTGGGTTCATTTAAGATACTAGTTTGAAATGACGAATGTGTAGTTAATTCTTTTGTATTTGTTTCGACTACATCAGAAGTTGTATCCAAGTTTTTAATATCAGAAAATATTTTATTGTCGTTTTTAGGCTTTGGATGCTTTTTCTCTTTCTTTTTCTTTTTATGGGTTTCAATTTCTTCTTGTTTTTCAAATCTATTTACAGATAAATCTTCTACGGTTGACTTTATTGTCGTGTTTCCAGCAGACGCAGCTATGACATCTTTAGTTATTTCTTTAGTCGACGTAGGAGCTTCAACGGGATATTCCGAATTGATATTATTGTTTCTTGCCGTGACTAAATCATCAAAAGCAGCTGTGCAGGATGTTTTATCCTCTGTTTTTTCTAATTTTTCGGAGTCGTGCCTGCGTTTCTTTTTCTTATTCTTTTTGTTTTTAATTTGAAATTCATCTTTGATTTCATCGTCTTTGTTTTCCATATTCAAGTTTTCCTCTGGTGGCGAAAGCGCAACAACACACTCTATATCGGTTAAAATTTCACCAGTCGATCCGATAGGATTTTTACCTTTATGTTTCTTTTTACGAACGCTTGGTTGAACAGAACTTTGGTCTTGTGTTGTGAAATTAATTGGATTAGTTTTGGGGATACTTTTTTCATTTTCAATAATATCCGTCTTGTTATTATCTTCAGGTTTATTGCTTTGGTCAATTTCACGTACAATGTGTTTCTTCTTCTTACCTTTATTTCTTTTTGGTTTAATTGGCGATTCTAAATCAACAGGAGTAACGTCAACAACAGTTTCCTTAACATCATCTAATTTCTGGATAATTTCTGTGTGTTTTAAGACAGTTGAAGATTCATTACTTTCATCTTTCTTTTGAACACTTTCCTCGTTTTTTACATTAGGTTCAATTTGCTCAACTAAGTCAGTATGCTCAATCTCAGGGGTCACATTGGTTTTTTCTTGTATTTGCACTGGTGCCGGGCTTAATTTTGCACGATTTTTAGTTTTATGTTTTTTATTGTTCATTTTTTTAATCGCAGATTTAAAAATTCACTGTTATAATACAATTACAGTGTACACTGCACAAAAAGTAACTGTGACCGTACTATGCTAAATACAGAGACTGTCTGACCGATTTAAGCGCATGCGTTTATTCCTGTACACAAATTCATATGCTATTTCTCGAAATGTCATTTATAAAGATACTAAAACGAAATTCGACTTAATTCATAAGGCGTAAAGTTGAATTTTCAAAGTCGCACTTGTAAAGTGTGGTTGTTTTGTGTATTCTACGAGGAAGCATCGCTTGCCAAAAGTGCATTCACGTTATGACTTAGTTTCGAGACTAAATATAGAATCTATCTTTAAATATTTCAAATGACATTACAAGTCGTTGTTCTTTTACTGCTAATATAAAAATGTGGTAAAAATGTGGTAAAGCCATGGTGCAACTGTATATTGGTGAAATTGTGGGTTGGTTTAACTAGACCGGATCGTGGTTGAAAAAACCTCTCTCGCACAGAATACCAACTAAAACAGCAGCATAATGCCGCTGTGCTTAGCATGACGAGTGAAAGGAACCGGAGACCCTTTTAATGGTTACGCGATATTCCATCTTAGTTCACAAAGGCGACAACGCATCTGTATTTTGAATTTTAATATAAGATGGATGTAGATGTTTATGGGCCACAGCATCCACTATCCATCCACGCACAGGCACACGCAGGTGAAGTATGTCACCCTTCATCACCCTTCATCATTATCATCATCATTACAGCCCCTCACAAGTCCACTGCTGAACATATGTTTCGGATATCCTCATTTCTAATCACGCAGAGAAACTCAAACTCGCCGAGCGACCTTGAGCTTCCTCATACAGCCAGCAGTGAGGGACCACATCTCAGATCAGCAAGTCATCACTGGCAACACGCACTGGTTATACAATCATGTTTTCAAGTTTTGAGGTATACCTGACGATAAGATGTGTCGTAATTTCCCGAACGCTGCCCAGCCGAGTTGAATCCGTCGATTGAGCTCTCAGTCGAAGTTGGACTTACCTAGTCGGACTATTTGTCCCAGGTAAACATATTTGTCAACAACTTCGAGCTTAGTGCTCCCAACAACTACCGGCATAGACGTTATACATAATTTTTGTTTTACCCCATATCTGCCCGTGAGTGTCGTAAGATGCGACAGAGGAAAACTAAGGCGGGAGATGGGCAGCAGCGACTTTCTGACAACAATAGAACAATAAAAAACCTGCGATTGCCAACCCGCTTGCCAAGCGCAGTCACTTTGGCAATATACGAAATATACAAAGAGATATGAGAGATCCTGGCTACGGTAGTCACCATGGTAACGGCGGGGCAGGGGTTGCTAAGAATCTCCGGTGGAGGTTCGGTTGCCACCTAAGACGACTCGACCTGGCAACATATTGTCACCCTTACTTTGAAAAAAATAGAAACCGTAAATAACAATACAAGTTACAGTTCTAAATCAAAATTTCCAAATAATCCAAAATGTTAACAGGTAGAACACGTCCGTCAAACAATAAATAGTGAACAGATAATTTTGACAACGCTGTCTTTAACACAATCATGTTACAAAGGTGCTTCGAGATGATCTAAATAAATCATTCAAACACGCGAACAGTCGACCCAAAAGTCGTTTTGTATGATTGTTTTGATTACTATACATAAAGCAAGCAATTCTAACACTTATTCAAATATAATAAAGAGTATTCTTGTACAAAAAGAAAAAGTAAGACTACAAAGTGGCCCTCGTTTTAAAATGCAAATGAAGGGTTGTAACACCCCTGACAAGCTAGTCAAGGAGCTAGACAAATTTTACGAATTTTATCTAAACATTATTAGAAATCTAAAGTTGCAGTTGACGAATTCCACAGATTGTGATATACTCGTAGTGCAGCATTATGTATTTGTGATAATTGAAGCCAATTAAAATTCAATTCGATGCTTCAGAACTAACTGGCTGCAGAACACTTCTAATACTTTATAATTAAAAATTTTTGTACAACCGACTTCAATATAAATTATTAAGAATAACTCAAAAACTATAGGTCAGACCTTGATCAAATTTATAAGGGACCACATGTGAAGTACCAGCTTTTAAATAAAAATTCATCGAAATCGGTTGACCCAGTAAAAAAGTTATGAGGTAACACACATAAAAAAACATACAGTCGAATTGAGGACCGTCTGCTTTTTGAAGTCGGTAGAAAATATCAAATAAAGATAAATAAGAAGGGATAGAATCCAATTAAAGTTTGAAAAAAATATTTAGATCTGCTACATAAATCTTTTTAACCGTGCAGTATAGTGGCGGTGTAAGAATATCCACTACCCAATATCGTTCCGTGGGTGTTTTAAAAGGCGATAGAAGGAAACAAACCAGGAGACTGGCAGTAGCGTCTTTCTAATAACAACTAGAAAATAAAACTGCTATTGCCAACCCGTCTGCCAAGCGTGGCAACTATGGCAAATATTCCCCTATGAGGCAATCTATGGGAGAGACCTATGTCCAGCGGCGAACATTTCGTAGGCTGTGATTATGACATAATTTTTATTAGCTCCTACACTAACACTACACAGGGTTGCAAGCCGCTTCCCTTCGCCGCGGCGTGAGGGGAGATAAAGACACTGCATAAACTAATTATAAGTGCGCACACGCACGCCAAATGGGGATAAATAAATATTGAAAGGGACTTTTTCTTAACTATCAACTTTATTCATAGCTTATTCATTAACGAATAGACTTGTCAAACTGTGAAACGTAAAATAAATTATTTAAAAAAAAGATAACAGAATTTATGAAACCCAATACTGAACGCAGGCCTTCTGCGATTTCTAAGAAGGTTACGGTGCGGGTAGGGTTTGCCGCGCTCTGTCTTCGCCAAGCTAAGCAGTAGCTAAGCGGTGGCAATCAGGTACTACGAAGTTAAAAGCCAGCACGTATTCCAAGAGCTAAGAAGGCAGTAATGAAAGATTAATAAAACTTGGAAATGTCCTATACAGGTGCACGATCTGTTGAGACGGACTAAATATGTTATATTTTTAATATGGCAACACTTTCCTCAACTCATGGCCAATACGATTTGAAAAATAATAATGAAAAAATATTTATTAAATCAACTATGAAATATCAAAATACAGTGGATTTCATTAATAACGATTCCGCTTTTAACGATTTTCGGTTATAACGACGTTACTTTGAAATCCCTTGAATTTAACGTTTCCTTTTATAGAGAATGGTTTGGTTATAGCGACTTCGGATATTACAACAATTTCGGGTATAGCGACCAGTTTTAATGAGTCATCCATAAAAAATTCCCTGAAATCTCTTTACGTAGTAGAGCCATGCTGCAGCTATATTAGTAGTTTAGTTGTAGCACGAATGGGTCGACTCGACCGGGGAAGGACCACGCTCTCACAGAATACCAGCGTCAAATAGCAGCTTCATGCTACTGTGTTTCGTATGGTGAGTGTAGAGAACCGGAGACCCTTTTTACTGGAAAAGAGGCATTCTATCTTAGTCCTCACGGGTGATAACGCATCTTCATTTTGATTCGCAAACGAGGATAAATGTAGATGTCTATGGGCCACTTACCATCAGTTGGACTGTGTGCTCGTTTGTCACCCTATCCTATAAAAAAGGTATTACGGCCGAGTCCATACTCAATGAACGAGTCAACAAACAAATACACAAAGATTAATTTATAGTGTCATTAAGCTTTCTTATATTTTGTTCGTAATCCAAAATGGACGGCAGCTGCGATAATATGCGGAAAATTAGTTACTCAGTAATTTTTGGGATGTTATATTATTATCGCTTTTTCATCACGGCATCCGTTAGAAGAACGTTTGCGGTTAAAGAAAAAGTAAATATGATTATTGCTTATTTCAAATAGTATTAGTAAGTAGACATTAAGTGATTAGGCGTATTGTTTAGCTGTTAAAAATATTATTTCACAATAAATATTATTTTCATGCTTTCTTAATGTCAAGTTTTCTATCCTCCGCACTCCTACATGTACGACGATAGCAACTTACGGAGATATAATGACAAAATTACAATATACGACGGTCCCTTCACCGTCGTTATAAGTGAAATCTACTATATTTTGATTGAAGTAAGAAGAAGAAAGTAATAAAATAATTATTTAGAAAACGCTGGGGGATGAGTCGCTCGCGTCCGTAGGCTTCGACCACCTAATCCTAGGCCCATCCTACACGTGTCCCCCAGGTGATGATAAACAAGCGACAAAGCCGAAAGAACAGACTCGGCTCCTTGCGTGTGGTAGCGGCGTAAAAAATACCACACCCTACTTTCGCACCATGAGCCAAAAAAATTACGAAATGGTGCCGAGTTCCCGACGCCCCTTTAATGGGGCAGGGGTGCGAGAATCTCCGGGAGGAAAACCGGTGACGAGGTTCGCCACCCGTCACGTCCTATCCCCCGGAGGGGCGAAAAGTGGATTGCGGAAGCCCGTCTGGCTACATTGAATGTATGTGGAGGAATGAATGATAAGATGGATGAAGTATGCGATATGATGTATGATAGAGGAATAGACGTGTTATGTGTAAATGAGACGAAACGGAAGGGAAAGGATGCCACATACATGGCATGTATACCGCGTACTGGTCTGGTGTAGACGAGACCGAACGGGCATACCAGGGAGTCGGTATCATCATTTCAGAAAAAATGGGTCAATGTGTGAAAGAGTATGAATGTATAAGCCCAAGGCTGCTGTGGATACGAATGAAAGTGGGCTTAAAGAAGTTGTTCGTGCTTGGAGTGTACAGCAGTGAGCAGTTTTGGGACATGGTAAGGCTGGTGTTGACGAAATGTAAGGAAAATTAAAATATTATTATGTTAGGAGATTTTAATGGAAGGGTTGGGGTGAAGAGGTCTGGTTACGAAAGGATATTAGGAGCGTTTGGCGATGAAAGAATAAATGAGAATGGTAAAGACCTCCTCACCATATGTGTGTAAAAGAATATTTTTGT